CATTAGATCCATTAAAACCTGTCCTTTAATAAAGCACCAGATCCATTAAAATCTGTCCTCTATGAAAGCGTTATTAGACTAGTTAATGAGTTACTCTTATTGACAAAAATATATTTAATACAAAATAAGCTATATTTTAGTGTCAGGATATCTGAAAACCATATATTGAGTTGTTTAAATTATTTAATTTCCCACAAGAAGATTGGGAGATAACCCATTTATTGATTTATTTTAAACCCAGTATTTCGACTTCTTCCCACTCTCTATTCGACGTTATATCCAGGGTTGTCTCCAGCCTCTTTCCGATGAGGGAGTTGAAATGGGCTAGAAAAAGTTGAAAGTGCACCAATTTGTACAGTAAACGTTATTCGTTGTGTGTGTGGGGGTGGGGTGGGGGAAGAGACAGATGAACCTAAGGCATATTTCGGGGTAGTTTAAGCCTCGACAATCCTCTTTACCACCACAACTAGTTATATTCGATGTAGCTTCTGTTTGTTTGTTGAATTTCTTACAAAGTTACTCGAGGGCTAGCTGCCCCTAATTTAGAAGTGATAGTTTTGAGATAAGACAGCTGATCAACTCCACCAAGCTCTTGGGCTTTTCTAATCGAGTAGTGGAATTGACCATCACATTATACGCCCCACGGCTGAAAGGGCGAGCATGTTCAATAATGGGATTCGAACCCACGACCAGCAGGTTTCGAGTTGATCTCCCTAACTAACCACTAGGATATACCAGGCCTAAATTTGTTTTATTCGATCTTGTGGAGATTACCACAGATATGGATTAAAAGTTAACGTAGTTTAACAACATTTTGTCATATGGATAACATGGCTACGTTTTTTCAATAAAAGTATTGTATTTACAACCAAATATTCACATTTCCAAAGTGAGAACCGCGATCTTAAAGCAACAGAACATGAATTTTGGACTCTTGGTTTTATAATACAGGACGCTATCCACTACGTCACACCCGTTTCGAAAAATGTTATTGTTGTTTTCTTTTATTTTTTAGCGCAAAGATACACACATGCGGGAAATCGAGCCCTGGATTTTGGCGTTGTAAGTCCGTAAACTTACCGCTGTTCCACCGAGTGACAGCAGTATGAGAAAAAAGTGTTACGCTTATTTCAGAAACTGCTTTCCATAACTAGTGTCTTACAAATACTGACAATAAACAAGTACCCACTTCTAGCTAATCGATATTTCTAGCTGTGTAGACAAACTAACTAAACAAAGTCTGCTAGTTTCTTCTGAACCTTATCTTATTAAACATGAATAAAATGAGCTTCGACTTGAAGATGAGGCAAATATCTTGGAGGACAACAGGAACAAACTGTATTTTAATTTTGAATGGACTATTTCATTAAAACTCGGATCAATATTTAATATGATTGTGATACTTGTCCGTAACTGTGGCAGTCGTGGATTCACGCGGAAAACTAGAATTATTTCCAAACTGAAGCTTTATTAAAGTGTAAGTACTGAAATCTAGTGAAGTTAATAACTTCTTTCAGTATTTCGTTTATTAAACAGAGTCATGATGGTGATAGTACTGTAGTGCTGTTAAATAAAAAAGGCTTAACAGATTTCAATGGAACTCTATGGTACCTTTGTTAAATAATATTCTTCAAGCATGAATATTACATAGAGATATTCATTAGTTTTAGTGTTAAATAACAATTTTCAGGCATTACTACACGTACTATAGAAATATTAGTTTAGTGTTTATCAAAAAACCTCAGTGTTATTTGTTGAATAATATTTATGAAATTAATCATTGGTATGTTTTATAGAGATATTGGTTTAATGTACACTAGAAAATTCTATACTTCATGAAATCACTAATCTTGTTAAATCTGATTGTCAGACATTCCTCTGTTTTAAGACACTAGTGATATTTGTCAGATATTCCAGTGTATTAAATACTAGTGTTATTTATCAGATATTCCAGTGTTTTAAGACACTAGTGTTATTTATCAGATATTCCCGTGTTTTAAGACACTAGTATTATTTGTAAAACTTTCCCGTGTTTGAAGACACTAGTGTTATTTATCAGATATTCCCGTGTTTTAAGACACTAGTATTATTTGTCAAACATTCCCGTGTTTTAAGACACTAGTATTATTTGTCTTACATTTCTGTGTTTTAAGACACTAGTATTATTTGTCAAACATTCCCGTGTTTTAAGACATTAGTATTATTTGTCAGACGTTTCTGTGTTTTAAGACACTAGTATTATTTATCAGACATTTCTTTGGCTAGGCCCACATTTATCTTAGTTCAATAATGATGTTTCTTTGGCTATGCCCACATTTATCTTAGTTCAGTAGTGTATGTTTCTTTTGCTAGGCCCACATTTATCTTAGTTCAGTAGTGTATGTTTCTTTGGCTAGGCCCACATTTATTTTAGTTCAGTAGTATATGTTTCTTTGGCTAGGCCCACATTTATCTTAGTTCAGTAGTGTATGTTTCTTTGGCTAGGCCCACATTTATTTTAGTTCAGTAGTATATGTTTTTTTGGCTAGGCCCACATTTATCTTAGTTCAGTAGTATATGTTTCTTTGGCTAGGCTCACATGTATTTTAGCTCAGTAGTGTATGTTTATTTAGCTAGGCCCACAGTATTCTTAGTTCAGTAACAACAGCTTCTATAGTTGGGCCTGTATTTATCTAGCAAGGCCCATATCTTTTACCAGTATTCTAGTGCTAAAGTTTTTGTTAGATCATGAAAACTTTTATTTTCACATCCAGTTTCGTGTTTTTCCGGAAATACAGTATGTTCCTTCAACTTTTGTATTATTTGTGTGAAACACACTAGGTGTTTCTTTTTCTGTTAGTTCATACAGGTGAACTTTTCATGGCCTCGCAAGCAATTTGTTTGTGGTTAAGCATAAAGCTACACAATGGGCTGTATATTCTATGCCCACCACGGGTATCGAAACGCGTTATAAGTCCGCAGACTTACAGCTGTGCTAGCAGAATGTACCACACAGAAACCTAGTTCTGGAATATGGCCAACTTGATGATGTCGTTGGTCGTTCTTCTTTTGGTACTGTTCAACTATCCCAGGAAAGGTGTCACTATACTGCTCTTTGGTTTAGTACCATGTTTGTTCTTTAGCGAGATCAACTCTGTAGTGCTTTAGGAATACAAAGTGACACGAAAACCAATGCACTCTGGAAAAATTGACCCTATTGTGCTATGCGAATAGCAGGTCTTTTGATTTTCATCTCAGTTGGAGAGCTCTTTATAAACCCTATAGTAGTGTCGTCGAGTGTTATTGTGATTACTGTGATCTTACATGTAAGATGATTATACTACTTCATTCGTTGGGTATGGTTCGAACTTTCTTGTTTTCTGTGGAATTAAAAAAAAAATCTTTAAATATATCCAAGTTCTATTAAATAAATATAAACTATTATTCATTCGTAATCACACTATAATAATTTTAATCATACACTTCAATTCCAGTAACATCTAGAGACAGTAAATTGAGCTAGTTTTCTAAGAGAAACTGGAACTCGACACTTTCGTCATCCAGCACCACTGTAACCATGACAACAACACATCTGTTCTTCTGCTAGTTTTGTAACAATGGTCATTCAAACAGTTCATTATTTTAGACACTAAAATATCTTATTCACGTATTCAATTACGAATTTGTTATTAGGGATTTAAAAAAACAAAATCTGCTATTAGGTTACTTCGATTTTCAGCTGCATTCGGTCAACATAATTATTAGTTGTGCTTTTGTTTTTTTATAATGCGGCACATTTTCAGAAATTCAGTTCTTGTACTTGGTGATGTTTTCTTATTTATTCTTGTTTTTATTTGGTGGTTGACAAGCAACATTGATTTATTTCCCTGGTTTACACGTTCTCTCCCGCGTTTAGATACAAGCTGAATCGTAAATCATTCGTGCTTTTTGACCCAAAATGTCGTTCTATATTCACTGGTGTCAGTTTTAAGGATCGTTCATTGGTTCGGTGATGTACACACAGTTGTTTTGTATTTCACTACGAGTTGGCACAAAACAAAAGCACAAGTTAACAAAGTTAACACGTCTTTTTGATTCGTGACAAGTATTAGAGATGACTTTACATTTTTCAGACTGTATTGTTATGTTATATAAAAAAAGTATCGATAATTTTTCATACTGTTGTAAGCCATTCTTTTAATATTTTAATTTAGATGTTTGTGTGCTAGAGGGAGCTCGTTAGGACACAACATTTAGCAGCTTAGTCTAATACACAGTAAACAAGTATAATACAAAATATAAGGGTTAAAGAATTCAGTGTCAGTGAGTTAGACAGTGAGAGTAAGTTTGTTTGTGATTCAAATAGTCAGTGAGTCAAACTGCGTGTTTGTTATGGAACGGTTATCAAGGAAATTGTGCAAGTAAGTTAGGCGTACATTAGTTTCTGAATTTTTATGGAGACGTTGTTAAGTCAGACTTACCACTAATACTAGTATTAAAAGTTAATTCCGTATGGCTGAGGGAGTACGTCTCTCTCACTCCATAAGAAGTTATAACTCCCCAAGAAATAAGTGCTGGACATACCCCCTGACTGTATCAGGAGAGCATCTTAATCTAGCAAGTTGTATTTAAAATACTGTTTTATAGAGTACCGTAAAATAACGCTTTGGCATATATGATATAAACGGTTCGACAATTAAACGACACTTTGCGAGACCACGGTGTCATCGCCAAAACTGGTAAAAGACAATAGGTAAGGCCTAGTTTTATATAAACGGTTCGACAATTAAACGACACTTTGCGAGACCACGGTGTCATCGCCAAAACTGGTAAGAGACAATACGTAAGGCCTAGTTCTATGTCTGGATCACTTCAAATTCAATTCTCGTGAGAAATAATGTGACTCGGTTTTCTTGTTTAATGGATAAAGATTTCGTATTTTTATACTTAATAAGAGTTCTCTGTTAGTGTTCATTCTGACATTTGTGTAAAAAATAAAACAAAGTCCAGATTTTTCTTTTCTAAGGAAAACATTTATTAATATTAAAACTTTACAACTCTGAACTGACGATTGATTCAACAACAGTTGGGAAATACTATGTGACCAAATATTTAAATAAGTACCTTTTTCAACAGAAATATTAATACTATGTTATTCTTGGAGCTGACCGATCATTGGTTGTTACCTTACGTAGCTTCACGCTGGCAAACACGTTGTCTCTGTAAGAAATAGAATGTACAAATTATTACTCGTGTTGAAGTAGAGGGCGCTGGCAAACACGTTGCCCCTTTAAAGAAATAGAAAGTTCGATGTTAGTCGTTTTGAGGTAGAGGGCGCTGGTAAACACCATGTCCCTGTAAGAGATATAAAGAACGATGTTAGTCGTTTTGAAGTGTAGGGCGCTGGTAAACACCTTGTACCTGTAAGAGATATAAAGAACGATGTTAGTCGTTTTGAAGTGTAGGGCACTGGTAAACACCTTGTACCTGTAAGAGATATAAAGAACGATGTTAGTCGTTTTGAAGTGTAGGGCGCTGGTAAACACCTTGTACCTGTAAGAGATATAAAGAACGATGTTAGTCGTTTTGAAGTGTAGGGCACTGGTAAACACCTTGTACCTGTAAGAGATATAAAGAACGATGTTAGTCGTTTTGAAGTGTAGGGCACTGGTAAACACCTTGTACCTGTAAGAGATATAAAGAACGATGTTAGTCGTTTTGAAGTGTAGGGCGCTGGTAAAACACCTTGTACCTGTAAGAGATATAAAGAACGATGTTAGTCGTTTTGAAGTGTAGGGCGCTGGTAAACACCTTGTACCTGTAAGAGATATAAAGAACGATGTTAGTCGTTTTGAAGTGTAGGGCGCTGGTAAACACCTTGTACCTGTAAGAGATATAAAGAACGATGTTAGTCGGTTTGAAGTGTAGGGCGCTAACAAACAGGTTTGGTCACTTTAGGGTAGCACTGGCTTATAAAAAGTTATATAACACTAAATGGAAGAAGTGAGCTAAAACAAACGTGAAAATAAATATATCTTCGTTAAGAATTTTTATGAAAAGACGTAGAAAAAGAGTGCATTAAATAAACTATTATATAAGAACCGAGTCTGATGTTTTATGTGAAATGAGAATACTGTTTACTACAAAATTAGATTTTGAGGTTGAAGTGTGGAACGACACATACTGCTATTACAGATGAGATAGTAGAATATAGACGTATTTATCTACTAGTTATATTTTCTGAAGAGAACAAGCCTCACCTTGGACTTGAAAGGCTAACTTCCGAAACTTTACCACCATAAATGACATCATTGCTGAATCCACTGTCGTGGCTGCTATAGAGACTCGTGGAAGGTGGGATACGGGGTGGTGGAGGGACTGGTTGAGGAAAAGGAAGGGGAGAGGTGAGGGATCGCTGGGGAGGTCGAAGGATGAAGTTTTCCTTTGCTGTTTCTACGGTAATTGGGACGGTGACGCTGGTGGCGGAGGGTTCTCCCATGGGGGTAGAGGCGGCTGGCGGTGGTCCCTGACGAAGCTAAATATACATCAACAATTATCATCATACAATCAAATTTTTCCAATGTTTTCTCGATTTGCTAGTAAGGTAGAAGGGTAACTTAATGTCGAATAAGAAAAGTCTCCGAGGTTTAATTATAAAAAATAAACTCGTTATCAGAGTTTTTGTATAACAAATTAATGTAACTCCTTAAGTATGGTTCTGATATCATTAAACTCTTATTGCATACACTTGACGAAATACAGTATCTAATTTTCCAAGACAACGTATACATCAACATTCTGTTACGAGCTCTACACTCTAGAACTTGAAAGTTTTTTGTTTGTTTGTTGTTAAGCGCAAAGCTTCACTATGGGCTATCTGTGAAGTGCCCATCACGGCTATCGAAACTCGGTTTTTGGCATTATAAGCCTCAGATTTATTGCCAAGCCACTTGGGGAGTTTTTTGTTCAGGATACAGGTGAGTCACGTGACGTAATAATGGCTGAAGTAATTCAGGGATGATGGGGGTGGTCTGTAACCGGATATGTTAATTTTGGAGGTAGTTAAGTGTTAAAATGCTCAAGTTTACTGTTATAAAAACGTAGAGAAGAATTTTAACCATATTATATCCGATGTATCATGTGCCGACGCGTCCTTTCGCCTAGTGCCAGGACTCTTCAGTCTGGCTGATATACAACAGACAATAGAAGCTACTTTTATCTTCAGTCACTTGAAGAACAATTCTTTTGGCGTGCACTGTAAATTTTATCAATTATATTACATCTCAGAATTATATTTATGATGTTTTTATTAATATAAATTATTGAGTCAGCTTGAGTAGAAAAGCATATCATGATATTGAAGTAGCAATGTATAGAAAATAGCCTTATATCTTACTAAATAACTGATTATACAAGTTGTATTTCGGGTATACTAGTATAACAGTCGTGAGGATAATACTGTAATAACACGTTTCTACTTGTATAACAGTCGTGAGGATAATACTGTAATAACACGTTTCTACATGTAGAACAGTCGTGAGGGTAACGCCGTAATAACACGTTTCTACATGTAGAACAGTCGTGAGGGTAACGCCGTAATAACACGTTTCTACATGTATAACAGTCGTGAGGGTAACGCCGTAATAACACGTTTCTACATGTATAATCGTGAGGGTAACGCCGTAATAACACGTTTCTACATGTAGAACAATCGTGAGGGTAACACCGTAATAACACGTTTCTACATGTAGAACAATCGTGAGGGTAACACCGTAATAACACGTTTCTACTTGTATAACAGTCGTGAGAATAATACTGTAATAACACGTTTCTACATGTAGAACAATCGTGAGGGTTACACCGTAATAACACGTTTCTACATGTAGAATAATCGTGAGGGTAACACCGTAATAACACGTTTTTAATTGTAGAACAATCGTGAGGGTAACACCGTAATAACACGTTTCTACATGTAGAACAACCGTGAGGGTAACACTGTAATAACACGTTTCTACATGTAGAACAATCGTGAGGGTAACACCGTAATAACACGTTTCTACATGTAGAACAACCGTGAGGGTAACACCGTAATAACAC